GGCGTCGAGGCGCGGCGCGTCCGCGGCCGCGGCGGCGCCGCCGCCGTCGGCCGCGAGCGTGCCGATGGCGTACTTGTCGAGGAGGGTCCAGGCCTTGCGGCTGTGGATGGCCGTGAACTCGTCCGTCGCGTCCGTGCCCGCGTTCATCGTGATCGACGACGCGCCGCCGGGGTGCTCCGCGAGGTAGGGGTTCGTGTCGTAGACGACGCCGTTGACGGCGATCCAGCAGTCCTGGGGCGTGTCGTGCTTGGCGACGTCCGCGAGCGTGTAGGTGTTGCCGAGGGGCGCGCCCGTGGCCTTGGCCGCGGGCGCGGGCGCGGCCGCGACGTCGTCGCCGCCGCCGACGGCGGCCGCGCGCGCCGCGTGCATGTCGCGCATGGCCGCCGCGCCCGCGGACTCGGGCGTGAGCGACGCGCCGGCGAGGCGCCGCGCGTCGTCGGTCATCCAGCCGCCGGCCTGCGCGCCCGCGAGCGTCGGGTGCTCGAAGACGAGGACCGGCGTGCCCGCGGGGCCCGCGTCGAAGTGCTTGACGACGGTGAACCAGGGGTTGTTGAGCATGCCCATGACGTTCCACGTCAGGTTCGACGGCTGCGTGTTCATCGCCGCGTCCCACGCGCGGCACGCGACGTTCGGCGCCTTGAGGAGGTCCGCCGTCGGCACCGTGATCTTCCAGAAGCACCAGCCCCAGTACTTGCCGGCCTTGTTCGGCGTGTTCGGCGGGTGCGTGACGTCGCCGTCCTTGACGAGGAACCACGACGCGCCGCCGTCGAGCGTGACCTCGACGCGGATGATCTTCCGGCCGCCGCCGCCGTACGCGTAGCCCTCGACGTCGTACGTCGGCCCCGCGGTCGCCAAATCGAGCACCTCGCCGTGGCCCGGGTGGAACATGGCGCTGTTGATGTTGAGCTCGTTGATGATGTAGTCGGGCTTGAACCACCAGCCCTCGGCCTCGGCCTGCTCGGGCGTCACGTTCACGGGCAGCACGCGGTTGTCCTTGAAGTGGTAGTGGTTGTCGCTCTGCTCGGGCGAGATCTTGATCTCCTTGAGCCACTTGACCATGCGGCCGCCGATGAAGCCCGGGATGAGGATGCGCAGCGGGAAGCCGTGGTCCGCCTGGAGCCGCGCGCCGTTCTGCTCCCACGCCTGTGTGCAAATCAACCAGTGAGCTGGGACGTCGGGGCCAAACTTGAGAATTCTCTAGCTCGGTCAAATCGAAGTCGATTCGGCTGATTTTTGGACGGATCGATTGCTCTCGTCGAGTTCTCGAAGCACAGCGAAAGTTCTCGTGTCAAAACATTCGCATACGCGCACATTGAAGTCGGGTTGAAGATTTGATTTGCACACAGTCCCACGCGAGGATGACGTCGTTCGACTTGTCCATGACGTAGCGGAGCGTGAGCGACGTGCCGTAGGACCCGTCGGCGCCGCCGGGCAGCTCCTTGTCCGGGCCCCGGAAGCAGACGTGGCCGCCGCCGTCCCAGGCCGCGGGGTCCGTCGGCGCGCCGAGCGACGCGAGCACGTCCGCGAGGTGGCAGCCGCCCCACTCGGACATGCCGAGGCCCGCGGCGCCCCAGTTGAAGCCGATGGTGCGCTTGATCATGTTCTGCTCCTTGCGCCGGTTCCCCGCGCAGACGAGGAGCGACGGCACGACGACCTTGGGGAACTTTTCGAGGTCCGCCATCGAGAGCGACTTCGCCTCGACGCCGCCGCCGGCGAGGACCTCGCAGCGCCAGCCGTCGTAGACGGCGTCGGCCTCGGCCGCGCTACCGTAGGCCACGGGCACGGCGCCGTGGTTCCGCACGTAGTGGAGGCTCGCGGGCGTCGAGTGGCCGTGCGCCTCGAGGAGCGGGAGGGGCGGCTCGACGTTGAACGGGTGGCGGCCCGTGAGGCGCACGAGCGCGGGGTTCCGCTTCACCCAGGCGTCGGGCGTCGACGCGTCCTTCGGGTCCGGCACGGGGAACTCCTCGGGGTGGCGCTTGAAGCCCGCGTCCGCGCGCGCCGGGCCCATCGCGGCCTCCTTTTCGTACGCCCGCCGCGCGGCCGAGACCTGCGCGCGCGCGTTTTTACTCTCGGGGCGCTCGGGGGTTGCGGGGCGCGCGAGGGGGCGCGACGCATGGAGCGCGACCAGGGCGGAACGGTACGGGACGAGGGAGGGACGGTACGGCAACACGATGGTGAAGTGCGCTCGGCGACGACGTGCGCGACGACTTTGGTGGAAATCTCGACGGCGACGCGCGGGAGGGGCGCCGCGGGGGGGAGGCGCGCGGGTACGCACGTGCGGTGGGTTGGGACGCTCCGACGACGGCTCCGAAGTCCGTCGACGCGGAGTGCTGCAGTCGATTATCGCAGAGGTGCAATACACGAGCAACTCAAATTAGAAAATGCGTGGCGATCACACGAGCTATCGCTAGGGGTAGCGTCGTCTCCCCTCGCCACCTGATTCCGTCGGATTACCTGGGAACGGCGGGCTTCCGGGCGCAGCGCGCGCGCCAGGCGAGCGAGTCGTCGAGGTCGCCGCGGTACGAGTGGCGCGAGCCCGCGGAGCCTGTGTGGAAATCAAGCAGTGAGCTGGGTTATCCCAACCAAACTTCAGAACTCTCTATCTCGGTCAAATCGAAGTCGATTCGGCTGATTTTTGGACGGATCGATTGCTCTCGTCGAGTTCTCGAAGCACGGTCGAAAGCCTTGCGTCGAAACGGTCGCATACGCGCACATTGAAGTCGGGTTGAAGATGTGAGTTCCACGCAGCGCGGAGCGGTGCGACGAGTCGTCGAATTCGCGCGCGCGGCGGAGGGACGTCTCCGGCAGCGCGCGGGCCATGGCGTCGCCGCGGAAGTGGTCGCTGGCGTCGAGGGACTCGCCCGTGGCGAGCGCGTGGCGCGGGAGGCTCAGGGGCGAGTGCCGCGCCGCGTCGTCGCCCCCGCCGCCGCCGCCCCGGAGGCCGCGGAGCGAGCCGTCGAGGAGGCCGTGGAGCGAGCCGTCCCGCGCGCGGCGCAGGCCGTGGAGCGAGCCGTCGAGGAGGCCGTGGAGCGAGCCGTCGAGGGAGCCCGCGGACGAGTCGCCGTCGGAGCAGTCGCCGGCCGCGGGCCGCCGGCGCCGGGGCC